TATATATATTTATATCTATAAATATATATATATAAATACATATATATGTGTATATATATATATATAAATATATATATGTAAATATATAAATACATATATATGTATATAAATACATATATATGAATATATATACATATATGTGTACATATTTGTGTGTGTGTGTATATATATATATATATATATATTTATATCTATAAATATATATATATATATATAAATACATATATATGTATGTATATATATATATATATATAAATATATATAAATACATATATATATTTATATCTATAAATATATATATATAAATACATATATATGTGTATATATATATATATAAATATATATATGTAAATATATAAATACATATATATGTATATAAATACATATATATGAATATATATACATATATGTGTACATATTTGTGTGTGTGTGTGTATATATATATATATATATATATATACAGGTCCTTCTCAAAAAGTTAGCATATTGTGATAAAGGTCATTATTTTCCATAATGTAACGATAAAAATTAAACTTTCATATATTTCAGATTCATTGCACACCAACTGAAATATTTCAGGTCTTTAATTGTTTTAACACTGATAATTATGGCATACAGCTCATGAAAACCCAAAATGCCTCTCCCAAAAAATTAGCATATCATGAAAAGGTTCTCTAAACAAGCTATTAACCTAACCATCTGAATCAACGACTTAACTCTTAACACCTGCAAAAGATTCCTGAGGCTTTTAAAAACTCCCAGCCTCGTTCATTACTCAAAACCGCAATCATGGGTAAGACTGCCAACCTGACTGCTGTCCAGAAGGCCATCATTGACACCCTCAAGCAAGAGGGTAAGACACAGAAAGAAATTGCTGAACGAATAGGCTGTTCCCAGAGTGCTGTATCAAGGCACCTCAGTGGGAAGTCTGTGGGAAGGGAAAAGTGTGGCAGAAAACGCTGCACAACGAGAAGAGGTGACCGGATCCTGAGGAGGATTGTGGAGAAGGGCCGATTCCAGACCTTGGGGGACCTGCGGAAGCAGTGGATTGAGTCTGGAGTAGAAACATCCAGAGCCACCGTGCACAGGCGTGTGCAGGAAATGGGCTACAGGTGCCGCATTCCCCAGGTCAAGCCACTTTTGAACCAGAAACAGCGGCAGAAGCGCCTGACCTGGGCTACAGAGAAGCAGCACTGGACTGTTGCTCAGTGGTCCAAAGTACTTCTTTCTGATGAAAGCAAATTTTGCATGTCATTCGGAAATCAAGGTGCCAGAGTCTGGAGGAAGACTGTGGAGAAGGAAATGCCAAAATGCCAGAAGTTCAGTGTGAAGCACCCACAGTCAGTGATGGTCTGGGGTGCCATGTCAGCTGCTGGTGTTGGTCCACTGTGTTTTATCCAGGGCAGGGTCAATGCAGCTAGCTATCAGGAGATTTTGGAGCACTTCATGCTTCCATCTGCTGAAAAGCTTTATGGAGATGAAGATTTCATTTTTCAGCACACGTGCCAAAACCACTGGTAAATGGTTTACTGACCATGGTATTACTGTGCTCAATTGGCCTGCCAACTCTCCTGACCTGAACCCCATAGAGAACCTGTGGGATATTGTGATGAGAAAGTTGAGAGACGCAAGACCCAACACTCTATATGCGCTTAAGGCCGCTATCGAAGCATCCTGGGCCTCCATAACACCTCAGCAGTGCCACAGGCTGATTGCCTCCATGCCACGCCGCATTGAAGCAGTCATTCATGCAAAAGGATTCCCGACCAAGTATTGAGTGCATAATTGAACATGATTATTTGAAGGTTGGCGTTTTTTGTATTAAAAACACTTGTCTTTCATTGGTGGGATGAAATATGGTAATTTTTTGGGACATGCATTTTGGGTTTTCATGAGCTGTATGCCATAATCATCAGTATTAAAACAATTAAAGACCTGAAATATTTCAGTTGGTGTGCAATGAATAGGAAATATATGAGTTTCATTTTTATCATTACATTATGGAAAATAATGACCTTTATCACAATATGCTAATTTTTTTAGAAGAACCTGTATATATATATATATATATATATATATATATATATATACACACACATATACATACATGCATGCATACATACACACAACTTCAAAATAACATAAATTCTCACCCTGTACTGAAAAACAGTTTCAGCTTCTCGGCGCCACCAGCTGGTGAGAGGTGGTGACATCAATTTGAACCCCGCCCACTGGAACTGGTACTGAAAGCATAATGGAAACACAACCTGTACCGTACCGAGTAGAGTAGAGCCGTGCTGTACCGTTACTACAAGTACTAATGGAAAAGGGGCATTATTAGCTTTAAATAAACGTCTTGCCTTGCTGTGGCCTGTATCTTGTTACTTTAGCTGTCATGTCTGAGATGTTTGTCTTCTGTTAACAGGAGGCGCTGGAGCAGGAGATCAAAGGTCTTGAGGAACGAGTGTCGGCGATCCAACAAGTTCTGAATGACCTGAAGGTCCAGCTTTATGCTAAGTTTGGTAACAACATCAACCTGGAGGCGGATGAAAGCTAAAATCTGCCTAAATGAGGACTTTTCCACAGCCAGTCGAAGCCAACAAAACATGAACAAGAATGTTTTTTTGTAGCTTTAGGTTTTTGTTTAGACTGACGATGTATTTATCTAAATCACAAGGACAGTAACTGTAAAGATTTGGTGATTAAAATGTTCCACAAAATTTTATGTATACCACTTTTTTGTTAATGTTTGTTTGGTTACAGTCGGTTAAACTAAAAAGGGACAACATTTAGGTATTGTGCAGATTCAACTTTTTATATTTCCTATTGAAAAACCGGTTTAATTCAACATCTTTCACTCAGCTTTTATATATTAAAGCGTTTTTTTTTTTTAAACCCAAAGTAACTAAAAGTGCTTAACAAGGCAAATAAATGAGAATTAACCAAGATCATATTAAACTAATAAAATAGAGCAGGAAAATGCACAAAGAAATAAATGTGATTAAAAACAAAGGTTAAAATACAAACAAATAAAAATCAATACTTAAGAATACACAATAAAACAAATTAAAATAAGGAATGCACATTTATGACGTTTTACTGGTAAGACAAAATAAGCAGCACTTTCCCATCTGTACACACATCTGTAACTGTAATCTGTAAATAAAACAAGATTTTTTTGGCCAGTGAACTTTGACTCAGACATTCTTTAAGAAATTTAGATAATGTGTGCAGTCTCTGGGCTAAATCCAAAAATATTGTGGATGGACCAGAAAATTGTTTGGCAAGCCGTGCACACACGAGCTTTACCAGCAGCAGTGAAAGACTTTGATCAGTTCACAACAAAAGGTGCAAACTGATGGATGTGTGTAAAAATCCCAGTAGATCAGCAGTTCCTGAAATACTCAGATCAGCCCATCTAGTACAAACAACCACGCAACTTTTAAAATCACTTAAATCCTCTTTCTTCCCCCATTCTGATGCTGGATTGAACTTAAGCGAGTCATTACATGCCTGAAGGCTTTGAGTTGCTGCCGTGTGATTGGCTGATTAGCTACTTGTGTTAAGCAATTAAACAAATGTATCTAATAAAGGGACCAGTAAGTATATGCTTCTAAAATAATGACCCCGGTTTTTAAAATATGTAGCTTTATTTTATTGGAGGGGGCTTAATGTACTATTAGACTTGGAGGGGATTTAAGTATTGCTATAGATGGAAATTAGGCTGACCCTCAAAAGTGGCCCGCCTAACAATCCAAAATTGGTAAAACTAGTGAATTCCTGCAGGACTAAGTTCAAAGTATAGTAGTCCCTCGTTTATCGCGGGGGATCCGTACTCTGAAGCCCCACAATCAGTGAAAAACTGCGAAGTAGGAATAGTACAAACCGGATTCCAAAAAAGTTGGGACACTAAACAAATTCTGAATAAAAACTGAATGCAATAATGTGGAGATGGCAAATGTCAATATTTTATTTGTAATATAACATAGATGTAGTGAACTAGGCCTGAGACTTTATGGGACAGAAGCTGTCATTTC